AAAAAAAAAAAAAAAACAAAGCCATCTGTAAACCCCAAACGTTTATACTTATTCCTCTCCAGAACTTCTGCGTTGTTTTCTTTTTCTCTTTGTCTCTTAGATCACGAGGTACCTTACTTCCGTTTCAGCGCTCTTCATGTCATTTTTTGTTGGTTATTGTTTTAAACCTCACTACTGTAGATTATATGAAGGAAAAAAAAGAGCATTTCCTATAAGAAAATACCTGTGTGTTTATTTCTTCTGCATTTCTTGTGCTTGTCCCTTTGTGTCTGTACTCCCTTCTCTGGTTGTTCTTAACCTTCTCTGTTTCCTGCTGCCAAGTGGCCTGGACTCACTGGCTCCTCAGAAAAACGAGGGGGCTCCAGATTGTAGTATCAGTTATTCAGGTAAATTTGAGGCAGTAACTGAAATTGACGGAATTTCTCTGAAGCTGTAGTAATTCATAAGAAAAAATTAATTTGATTAGCTTTACTAGTAATCCTAGTGTGCTATTCTTAATTAAAATTTCTGTATGATTACCATTGTTTCCTTTTTCGTCATCGTTTTCCTTACTGTCTCATTCAAGATGCAGAAGGCGGCAGATGCCAGGCATTGCATCTTTGCAATTATTTGTGAGTGTGATTCAGTTCATACAAGATCACGATCCATCAGAAAAGTTTTTCACCTTTTCTGTCTACTGCAGCTCTGATCCTATATTCCAAAATGATGAATTTTATAAAATCGATCTTTGGAAGAAGTTTAACATAGGAACGTTAACTCTGTATCAAAGCACTGTATCAAAGTTGTTTTTTTTTTTTTAAAAAAAAAAAAAAAGCAAATCCTGTGTTGTCCAAGTAGTATTAAGGAAAATATTTTCAGCCTGCCAGTCTTAACACACGGAAGAAACTTGTTGGCTGCATGCATGCTCTTGCAAGTTGAAGTGTTATTTCTGTTTTGAAAATTATTTTCTTATTCCTTTTCTCCTGATCCAGGGAGAAGAAACTGAAAGCTAGAGTGCAAGAGTTGGTGAGTGCTTTGGAGAGACTCACAAAGAGCAGTGAAATCAGGCATCAGCAGTCTGCAGAATTTGTTAATGACCTTAAGAGGGCAAACAGGTAAAGGATCTACTAGCAAATGGATGCAATTTTTTTTTTTTTTTTTTTCCTTTGGCCATGTTCTGGTAACGCACTGTAGTCCCCTCCCTAGCTGAATAAGGAGCTTCTGGACCCTTGTCTTCATGCTCATGACTCTTGAAGGTTATAGTTAGACGTGGGGGAGGATATAAACCTGCCATGCAGGATACTGAAAACTACATAACTAAGAATAGAGCAGGGGAAATAAGTTAATTTCAATTGAGTTGTTATTATTAAATGCATTATTATTAAACAAAAATGTAAATCCCTCCATCTGATCAGGTTTATGTATTGCAGTTATTTTGTTTAAATCTGCTCCCTTTTGCTGCAGCCTTATTAACAAACTGGCTTCCAAAACCCCTCTTCGGCAGCTGTACCTCTGTGAGCAATAAAATTGCCTCTCTTGGTAGTAACTTTGCATGGACTGAGAATATTATGGACTGTAGCTCTCCCTCCTGCAAAGAGCCTATAGCTCACAAAGTAATTTTCACTAACTGTATTTATAGGAGAGAAAGTTTTCTCCCCCAAAGAAACACTAGTTTGCTTAATGATGGGTTTTGTAAGCAGACGCTGGCTGTGGGGGAATCTTTTTGTAAAGCATTAGATGCTTGATGTTGTAGCATCCCGATTCCCAAATAGTGCTCTGCAAAGTCATCGTAAGCAACCCTCTAGCTGGGTCTTTAAGGCGTGTTTAAAAAAAAGTATTTTCAGTAATCAGTTTACTGGTGTAAAGGTGCACGCTTGCCCAAAAGAAATGAGAGAGGTTAGCGCTGATGCGAATTTGGAAAACAGTTTTAAAATACAAATTTTAGGAAGAGGATCAGTACCCAAACTTTGAAGTGCCCTCATGGCTTTTTTTTGGTAGCACTTGCTGTGAGCAAACTTTGAACGGTCTTGTATTGCCTTGTATTTCTAACAGTAACTTGGTAGCTGCTTATGAAAAAGCAAAGAAAAAGCATCAAAACAAGCTGAAGAAACTGGAGTCACAAATGATGGCCATGGTGGAGAGACATGAAACACAAGTGAGGATGCTCAAACAAAGAATAGCATTGCTAGAAGAGGAGAACTCTAGACCGCACACCAATGAGACTTCACTTTGAACGCGTCTCTTTCAACGACGGTTAGTGCCATTACAAATCTGTTTCTTTTGGAGGCTGGTTTTTAGGTAGCTTCAAACTCTTAAGAGCTCTGACCCTCAACACAGTTCAGCACCATCTCTAGGATTGCAGCTCTCCAGCCGTGAGCCATGGGGAGGGAGAACCTAACCATTAACCAAGAACTTTTTAATAATGAAAATGGACAGTGCCTGAATTATCATGCCATGAGCATGCACGTTGTCTGTGTCATTATGTCTGTACTCATGCAGGTTCTCTTCCATCTTATGTCGCAAAGGCGACAGTGTCACATAACAAAATAATTCATGTTGAGATTTTATTTGGGGCAGTATGGAGATAACTGGAGGGTTCTCCCAATCCCCAAGCTCCTCCCTCTGCACACACCTTCTCTCTGTATTATGCTCCAGCCTTGCTGCTGCTGCTACATCAACTAAATAAGCAGATTTGGGGGTGGGGGATGGAAGTCTCTCTAAGATGATCGGCTGGTTTGCTGTTTGCACCACACCTGCAGTACTATTGCAGGTGCAGGTAGAGTAGGAAAACTCTACTCTTTTGTTTGGCCAAAAAAAAAAAAAAACCCAACACCCTGGGCATGTCTGGGAACTATGGTAATGATATATTTCTTAGTTTGTAAGAGGACTAAAGGCTGTGAGTTTCACCCTGCCAGATAGTCTGTGCCAAGGTTGAGTAAGAAGTTATAGGAAATCTCCGGATATTGCATGTTGTATGCAATTATTTTCTGAGACAGCTGGATTTTCCTATTAATACATTATAGCCAAGGTTTTCTTTAAGAGGCTGGGCCGTCTTTGTCATGTGTATAGTTTTATTACATCTTTCTATGATCAAGAGGTAGAATGTCTTTTTTTATACTTTTGACCAAAAAAGGTACTTATTTATTAGAAATGTACCTGTTCAATATTAAATACATATGCACAAGCCTATAAATGTGTGTATGTATGGATGTACAACCACAAACAGAATGTGAATGGCTTTGTCTTCATATAGCTGCTTAGGCTAACTTTTGTTACTGTTAACATTCTTTTCTTTTGTTTAAGTAAGTCACATCATCTCAAAGTAAATGAATTGAAAATTTTGGCCTATAATAGTTATGACGGCTAAGTAAGTGAAGCGTGGCGATGAGGTGCTTCTAGGGAGCAAAAAATGGGAGTCTGACATGGCAGCAGTTTCGCATAGAATTTTCTTCTTTTCAACATAGCCAAGACCAGGCATGTAAAACAAACACAGCTGCCAGTTTGGCATTGTTAAAACAAGCATGGAGCCCAGTAACTTTGTTCAGCTGTTACTTCTCTGCTTCTATTTTTCAAGCTTTGTTTTATCCAGCAAATCCAATTTCAGGAGTCAGCTATCCTTTCTGTTCATCATATGACTTGTTGTACATGTTGGGCTGCACCTCAGGTTTGCTTAGTGTGTTTAGCGCGATGAGAAATTTTCATCTAGTACTGCAATTCCTAGTACTAAGGAAGTATTTTTAAGCCGACCTAAATGGTTCTGTCTAGTCTAGTCTTGGTAGGCCAGGCAGCCAAAGCAGTTCTGGGAAGTCATGTTCAGAATATGGTATTAGTGTTAACTCTCGGTTACAACTGAAACGCTCACGGTTGGCGTTCATGCTCTCTCTCTTATTACTGTAGCTGTTGTTTTCTTCTTTCCTTAACAGTATAATTTCTTGATAGTTCCCTAGAGTTTGATACATCCAGCTACAACGCCAACACCATAAGTAAGTGGTTGATTGCAGTAGTGCAAGTTAAGACAATGCTGATTTCCAAATTAAGTTGTAGATGGGGTGTGATGCCTTTAGGTTGGTTTTGGTCAGTCCTCTTTATTAAGATAATTGCACAATTCCCACTTACTACTTAAATGGAAATTTTTGCAAATCAGATTGTTGAGGCAACAGCTGCATTGATTTCTTACTGTCTGTATGGTTTTGCTAAGTATCCATTGTGTTTCATTTTTTTGGCCAAGTTTGTCAACAGAAATGTGAGTTTTGCCACACGTGTGCTTTAGTAATAGCTGATCACACTTGTTTCTGAAGAAAGTAATCCACTGCGCACTCTGGTGAAAGTGCAACTACAGTTTGTCTGCTTGTATCTGAAACAAGTAACTAGAGGTCATCTCAAATTGTCAATGTGAAATACCTTTCACCTAAGGTAGCTAGTAGCCATTGTTGTACTGGATTTCCTCTTTGGATCCATTTTTTTTTTTTTTTCAGTTTGTTAGATTAGCTAAAGAAATTGTTAAGCCAGTTAGGCTTGAAGCCTTTGAATTGAAACCCATCTTTATGGGCAAGATTGTATATTAAGAAATGAAATGTAACTGGATTTAAAAATATAAAGCTGCAGTGTCCTACAGTGGGCCTCAAACAGGCAAGGATTTGCTGACTCTGTATAAACTAAGTGCTGTTTAATGCATTTACTGCACATCTCCCCAGCTAACTGTGCGCCAAGAGTGTTTTAGAATAAATCATGTATCATCATGAACGGTAAGTCACTCTCTCTTTCTTCCTATGGGGCTTAAAGACAGAGCAGCAAGACTGCTGTCACACAGCCTCTGTAGTAGCTTAGCTGTTTGCCAAACCAACACAGTAGCTTGCCTAAGCAAGTAGCTACTGCTTCCTGTGTTGGCACACTGGAAGAGGCTGGTAGGAGAGCGGTGAAAGGTTTACTGGTATTGTGCTTCGTATTTTAACAATTAGCTGCCAGTCCCCCTGTATTTGTTAAAAATGGCACTAATCCTGAGAGTGAATGCCAAAAGCCTACTTCCTTTTATGCAAGTTTGAAACACCAGCCTATAGACAAGTGTGCATTTTAACTTTACAGTCGATGCAAGTCACCGCAAATCACTGCAACTTAGCTCACTTAACACTTGTTGCAGAAATAGTACATTTGCAAAGCCAGAAAAATAATTGTTCACGCATTAATCTTAGTTTGTATTTTATTTTTTCACTTTCTGAATTGCTAGAGTGCATGAGACTTTACATTTCACTTTGCGTTCAGAAAAAAAACAGTACTTTTTCTAGTTACGTGTATAAATCTTCACCAGCTTGAATGTACTGCTAGCTATTACAAAGCACATGTCACTAAATTTGCATTAATGTCAGTATTGTTCTACTGTTTTTATTAGGAATTTCTCATTTAAAAACTCATTTAATATTGTACATTGTAAGATTAGAAACCTTTCAGCTTACTGAATTAGCTTTAAACGTATTGCTGCTTTTTAGTTTCCTAGCCGCTGTAAAATAGCTATTTTGTGTTTATTTGATATAGAATTGTAAAAACTGCATTTATTTATACAGAGACATTTATAATACTTTTATTTTACAAATGTTCTTATATTCTGAATAAATTTCTAATGCTATGTCTTTTCTTCTGGTGTTTCTTCAACATACCTGTCGTCATATTGCTGAGCGGTTCTGCTAAAAGGTAACACTATACCGTAATCTTTCTCTACGTGAAGTCAGTAAGGGAGGTGGATGGTACGGCACTGTGAGGAGTTACCATAAGGGGGACGTGCGATGTTGAACTCAGCGTGATCTGATCGATCCGTGGTTTTAACTGAGCTCAAAAACATTAAGACTTGCCACAGACCCGCCTTCACAGCTTCAATGAAAACTTTACAGAAATAGAAAAGCACATATGAAACTGTTTCCACATATCCAGTTCTTTTAATGACAAGCTTTATGGACCAAAAACTCTGTCATTTCATAAATACTTTCAAAGCACTTATTAAGGTTGACATACTTCCTTTCTTCAACACACCAGACCCCTTTTAAAATAAATTTTGCTTCCTATTGTTCGATGGGCCCCCTGTCCACCTTCACAATTGACTTTAAAAAATACTTCTTTTACTGGCACGTACATATAAATCAGTGCTGCTAATTGGCTTAAGGCAACATTAGTTTAAACATTCTATCATGAAAGAATAAACTGTACCAGCAGCACAGCCTTTACATTTCACACTGCAAACAGTAATGTTCATATTTCATTACTACAGTAAGTTATGAAGTCATTGACTTTAACTTCACAGAGAAATTACAGTAGAAAAGAAAATGTCAGTTTAGTCATAGCCTCTTAAATGATGTGCTTCAGTTTCTGAATCAGCGAACAACGATTAAAACCACAGCCATTAGTACAACATATGTTACAGGTAGTCACAGATTTTACCTACTCAAATTGAAGAGCTGACTAATGCAAACTACTCTTCAAAATAACATAATGGTTTAAGCAAGTTGAATAAAATCTGCAACTTGACATGGCATTTAACTCGCACTTAGCTGTAAATACTTTCTACTAAGCTAGTACTGATACAACACCACTTACTTACTTACATACCAGTGAGGAAAATGGATCAAGTTCTTGAGTCTTACAAAATCAAGAGGAAGACAGGTCATCTTTCACATATGAATGAGCTCTATAATAAAACACCGGCTCCCTATTTTTCTGCATGGAGTGCTGCACAGGATCTATCTCTTTGGACAGACAGGTCCTAAAATGTGTACAGCAATACAGTATTACCCCAAAGTCTATAAACAAAAACCCACCTCTCTCTGCAGGTTTTGGTTTTTGGTTTTTTTTTTTTTTTTTAATGTTACCATGCTGCGCTAGCCCAGCCTCACTGCTCCTCAGGTGTGAAGTGTTCCCAAACGCTGCACTGCTGTGCAGCCATACCAGCTCACTTAAGAATCGTGCTGTAAGTACAGGCTTGAGAAATATTTGCTAGAACTTTTAATCGTGCAATTTTACATAACTAACTTTCCTGCATAATATAAGTATGTACCCAATGAGTAGGAATAAATGGATCATCTTCCTCATTTACTGATTTTATTTAAATATGCTTAAAACATTTGTAGTCAAAGTAAATGCTTCTCATAGTGGCTCATGTGTTACAGGGAACTGAGGTGGTGCTAGTTATGTCTTTAAAAAGGTATACATGCTTGTTTTAAAACAATTAATGCTTCATGAGCTATAACTATTTTCTTAAGCATATTGAACTCCTAATGGAAACAAAATGAAAATTAGTTTTTCTGATCAACAATTAAAGAAGTGTTTAAGCTTGACAAAATACTTATCTTTTGAACAACTTATACAGTAAAGTTCATGGTGGACCTATTCAAATTTAAATATTCTGTACCCTGTCAAGCTGTCTGACAATTACTTTTAAGTAATTGTAGGTCAGCATGCTTTCTTTTGTTCTGCTAGTATTGAGGAATGAATTGCGGTCGCTTCCCAGAAGTGCCCACAATGAGACCTCTAAGCATGAATATAGGTGTTATAGTCAAAGTGAATATAGGCAAAGCTATACACGAGTATTTTAACCTAAAATTTTCAATGAAAAGACAAGTTAAAACCCAAGCATTTAATTATAACGTACTCCTGCTAATCCAGATTTTTTTTTCCCCCCTCTTGGTATGATCCTGAATATGGCCAATGGAATTGCTACATATGTTGCCTTGCTTTAAGTTCACAACCTACTTGAAACAGTGAAAATGCACACACAGCAAAAATCCTACTGCATCTCCTCTCAGTGCCTATGTACAGTATTAAGAACAGTGCAAATACTAGCAGTTAGCCTACTACTTTCATTCTTGAACTAGACTATTGCTACAAATGCATAAGAACAAATACCTATTACGCAAGAGTAGTGACATTTCCAGGCCTAATTTACTGCAAAAGCACCTTCAGTTAGTTTGTAGAAAACTTACCCCATCTTAAATAATTTTGGTTGTTTCAAAAGCTGAAATACTACAATAACAAAAGCAATCTGAAATTAGTATGAAGTCATGTAAAAGCACCAGACTCTTTAACAGTTACAGTGCAAGTTTTAATTTCTTTAAGTAGAGAAACTGCTTTTAAAAATCAATGAGAGGCTATTCTACCAGGTCTCAATAGTTTTGAGCTTCCTAAAAATGTGTATAGAGTAACCTCCTAATTTACAAGATGAAGGCACCTGATTTTCAGCCTCTGGAAAGAAAAGAGAAAAAAAAAAACACAAGCACACAAACCCCTGTTGTTCAGAATTTATAAAAAAAACAAAACAAAACAAAAACCAAACAGGTAGCTGAAAAATTAAGCAGCCCACTGACCCAACAACTGGAAAGCCAGTCACCCACAGACCCGCAGTACCATGCTGTATACCACAGCATATTAGAGCTTGGCTTCTTAATGTAGACTTGCTCTTCACACCAGCACGTTATGAGTGATGCTACAGCCTACACATCATCAAGAAAGCGCTACTGCTATACACTACAAGTCACCAGGAAAGCCTACAATGTTAAGTATAAGAGTTGGAAAACAATCTGAGAGCAAGTCTACTAGGAAGAGCCAAGTTGCAAAGCCTGCCTTGTTTTTGAAAGGAACTATTGGCATACGTAACAGCCACAAGTAGGTGAAGCAAGAACACAGCAAACGTTGTTCTCAACACTCCACGGTAAAGCACAGGAACTCTGGAGCACAGCAAAGCAGCCTGGAACAGTGATGAAGACCAAAATTTTAATAAACACTATTTATGTAAGTAAGTTTGGTCTAAAAAATTTTACATTATGTTTTTTAAAAAAAAAAACTGTGACTGTGCAATAAATAAAGCTGTTGCCCTGCTTCTTCCCAGTACCACTTTTCCCAGACTTCAAACTGTACAAGATAGATAGCTTCTTTCAAAAGCATGCATGTACATCAAGGAGTTGAAGTTAATATTTCTACATACATAATGCAGTTAGGCAGATCACTTTTCAGTCAAAGTGCAAAGCATTCTGGAAAAGCGAGATTCTAGAAATCTCACACTACTAAGACAGGAGAGTTATACAGTACTAGAAACTGCAAACTAATAGTCTAGACTCTCAAGACCCACGTGTTTATTGTTTCTTTTTGTTAAATGTTTGGTCATTTTATTAATTTTTTTTTTAATTTCAAGGACAGTGATAGATGACCATTCACAATTTGAATAAACCCCTTGCAGGCAAGCATTCTGACTTGTTTTTGCTCCAAACATAAGTAGTAGAATGATGTTTATTTTTCAAGTATCTTGACCTCAGCTCTGACATGCAAGCAGTGACTCTTGGTTCTCTGTATTTATCCCCCACTCCCATGAAATTAAAAAAAAAAAAAAAATCCATTACCACTTTTGTTATTTCTTCACTGTTTTACAGAAACACATGTAAACTGCACTCCTAAACCGGGAAATAGACTTAATTATAAAATGATGGTGAAATAAGAACATAAACTAGGAAGAGTAAACAATCTGAAACGTTCACGGTGCAGGGCACCCTGGAGCCTAAGGTAGATGACGCGACACCACCACACCTGCGTTGTTCTGGAAACCTTACTGAGAAAGCAGAAAGCAATGCTAACAAATACAAGAAACAGTACCCTTATACAAAGTAGTAAAAGTTATTGCATATTTAATCACATTTATTTGCAATGCACGTTAAGGCTAGATTTACTAAAAACCAGGACATATCTATAAGCCCCCTCTTTGGGCTTCTTAATGAAGCAACTAGTTTCTTTTATACTGAACCAAACCTTCATTAAGAAGATTTAAAAAAAAAAAAAAAAAAAAGAAAAAGACCCAGTGAATACAGAGGAGGGCCAGCATCTCCTATTCATAGGAGGCACTTGCTTCATTTTAGAGACTTCCTCTGTCTGTAACATGATTTACTATCTCAATAGTTTATTTGAACTTACAAGTTCAAAGTACATACAGTTTCAGCAAACACCCCCTTATTTCACAGAGCATGAAAGTAATTTATCTGAAAAGTCAACTTACTTATTAAAGATTTCCACAGTCTGATATTTAATCATGCCTTAGGAGAGGCTCGTTAACTCCACAGGCAGCAGCAGCAGCAACCTGGAGATATGAATACAAACTTCTGCCTTGCCATGAGTAAAGGCACTTTTGCTGGGAAATCAACTACTTGCAGTGAAGAAGGAACTAAAGATTAGTTTTCACCTGAAGCTGAGTTAATTTAGCATCCTCCAGCACTATCCCACCCTCTCAGTTGCTGCACTTACCCATTTACTGTTTTGAACAGCCTTTGGATACTAATTCTTTTTACAAGGTGAACCAAAGCTAGAATGAGTTATTTCACAACTTGGTCCTGAACAACAAGGCCCTCAAGACTCTTGTTCTCCAGAGGGAGGAAATGCTGCAGTCCTGCAGTCTGTTTCTCCTGTTAACTCATACAGGAGTTCAGGCTTCCCACAGCCAAAAGTGCTACAGCGTTAAAAGTCCCAAATCACCTGGTGCCAGGCAGATAAATAAACCAGAAGATAGCTCTAAAGCCATTTTTGAGGGGAAAAAAAAAAAAAAATACTAGGCAATAGATGATGTAGGGTAGTTGAAGGAAGACCAGGATTGTGAGTTTTTTTGGATACCACATGAGTTGTGTAAAGAAAGACTCAGTGCATGAACGTTCACTCTGATGGGAGAAGAGGGCCCACCTGTCAAATAATCATTTGCACACCCTTATTTTACAGAAGGGTCCGTTGTAAGATCTGGGACAACATGCTTTTGTTACGAGCCACTGTGACAAACAAGGACAGTACATTTTTCCCAACTGCAAAGCATGTATTCAAAACCCCTTAATTTGAATCACGAAGAACAGATTTCATACAGTTTGTCACCTCAACTCCTACTGCTATTTTTTTCTTCACATCTTTGATACTGTTATTAAGTGTTGTAGCTGCAAGTGACTGAGGCTACATCATTCAAATGCTAGCTGCAAGTGCAAATCAATACTATTGGATATATACAGAACATACACTACGCTAGAGATCTAAGGACATCAGCACAGAATATAATAATCGGCACTCTCAGAATAGTTATTGCAAGCCTGATTAAAAGCCATTTAGTGTCACACAATGCTTCTATTATCCATGCACCTGCCTTCTTCCTCTCAGCAAGATCCAGAGGCTTATTTACATTCAATACAAATGCTACACAAGTAACCTCTAACCAAAAAAAAGTTTAAGCCTTTCTTTTTGGAGAGCAGCTGCAAATGGCTAACACAAAACTTTTAACTTCTCCCCAGTTTGGGGCAGTTCTTAGAACCGAGGCTAGATGTTTTGAACGGCTAAGTTCTACCCAGTTTGAGCATCCTCACTGAAGACAGAAGCAGAGTAGGTACAAGGCGGCAAAATGCTATAGATTCAACTCCAAGGTTTACTGATTGCTGGCCAATGAACAATAACTTTCAGTGTGAAGGAGGGAGGATATTTTGGGGCAAAAAAATGGAAAAGAAAAAGAATGAAAGGTTGAGGCTAGGTTTGAAATGTGCAACTTAGGGTTTCAAAATTACTAGGACAGACAAAGGATTCCTCTGAGAATCACTTTCATTGCCACTGCCGTACTATTGCAATGTACTAGAAAATGAAGAGCAACAATTCCAACAACTTCACGTTAGACTAGTTAAAAGTTTAGCAAGCTGGTATACGGCCAACAGTTAAAAAAAAATACATAGCAAGTTAAAAAAACAAGAAAAAAATGCCCTCTAATGCACAGCTAGGAATAGTGAACTGAACACACTGGAAAGGTACTTTTGTGGACAAAGGCGATAGTGCATTTAAAGTGCAACACTTCACCATGCCTCTCCCATACTGCAAAGAAAACAGACCCTTCCAAACCATCAGTCAATTCCTGCATTGCATAGCCAAAGAAAAAGACACACACACACACACACAAAAAACCAAAACCAAAAATCATTCCTCCCCTCCCCCCAAAAAAACTCCTGAGAAAGAGTAAGGCTGGATTAGAAACCCACTCAATTGCAACAGGCAAGTCTGATTTTTGTTCTTAACAGGTTTGCTGTCAGAGGTCAAAACTTTTCATTATGGCATCATGGTCAAACTTGAAGCTCAAGAAAGCTCTCGATGAGAATGCAGATTTGTAATGGCCATTGCATGCCACAGACTGTCCCTCTACATGTTCAGGCAGTGGGTCTTCGCTGGAGCAACATATCTCATACGCTGCATCTGCTTAAAGGAAAAAAAAAAAAGGCAAGGAACAAATTTTAAACAGCTAGTTAGAAATAAGTGGATCAATGACAGTATGTAAGTCTACAAAGCCATACATGAAAGGCACATTCAATTAACATTTACAAAGCCTGTGTGTCTGGTCATAAACTGGAAGGTAAGTCAAACAGCCACATTTACCAGCCATCTAGGGGCTGGAACAAATCTTAAAACTCGCGGCAACCCGGGGATGCTTTCAGTAGCCACAGGTTTCTGGTTTGCAACTCACATCTTAGTTAGGAGGAAATAAACGTGGCTTTATTTCCTGAACAGGAAGTAGAAAACTGTGTGAACGCACTCAAAAAGCACTGGTTAATCCAAACTAGTCTAACAGCAACTGCAGAGCGCAGGAAGTATTATGACTAGCAGGACAGAAGGCTACACTTGGACTAACACTTCATTACCAGCATTGTGTTGATTCAGATACTATTTTCTGAATCAACACTCCGTTATTTTCACCCAGCAACATGGTGAAGTCTAACAGTTTCCACAATTAAAGAGAAGAAATGCAAAACCACATAAAGTTGACCCAAAAAAAAAAAAAAAAAGAACTTCCTTAGAAAAATATGCCTTCATTACATTTGGCAGGTTGTCATACGGGGGGAAAACAAAAAAACATCATTCTAGTGCCTTCAGCCCTAAATGCCTGACACTGGATAGAAATTCAGAGCATACTTGCCTGTTTCAAAGTTATCTTGAAGTCTTCTTGGATTAAGCCTTTTTTCACATTTCTAGTTAAGAGAACGACCACACATTACACACTTCATAAGAAAATTACATTTATGTTCCTGGAGGTATTGCTGAAGTGTCAGCTAAGAGGCATGCTGGTTACATTTGCTTTGACATACCTCCTGATGTGGGAATTATGTCTTTTATAACTCAGAACGTGAATTCTGTGATGCTGCTTTATCGAATAAGCATGCTCCAATTCCACCACAAGTGTTTTGGAAGCATGCGAGTCAGCCAACCATTTTTAAGATGCAGGCTCTTAAGGAGAAATTTTCAGCATTTTCTAAATGTTTTAAGCCAGAAAGGACTTGCATATGATGGTGTGGAATCAAAGGGGCCCGTACATATGCCTGTTCTTAAATCTGACTGCTCTGAAAAGCTGGGGGGGGTGGGGGTAGAGTATTTGCAAACAGGCAGCAACTGCCAATTAGAGACAGAAACTTAAGACATCTCTAAGCAAAAATTAAGTGCTAGCCCCAGGTATGCCACTACAGGTATACAAATAAAGACAGAAGTATGACCCTGTGCACTGCATTAAAATTAAGAGCTCTCTGACCTCCACATTCTGTTAGAAAACGTCTCTGGGAAATGAAGTGTTTAAACTAAAAGATCAATAATCACAGAAACATAAACAAAACAACACAGAAACATTTAGCCAAGTTTATAAAGAGCGTGCACAGTAACTGTGGAGCATTAACAGTTCCACTCGTTTCTATAAAGATCCTACAGACTCTCACCATCACAAAAACCACAAAATTTGTGGTTTTCTGTAAAACCACAACATTTCTGGGAAGTCAGTCCTCTAGATTTTCATTCTTCTACTCTCCGGGCTAAATGCAGCTAACCATTGCTATCTACAGAAATGATTTCACAAGGATGAGAGTTTATGGTTTCTTCCTTTTTATATGAAAACGAGAAAGAAGGTAAGAATTACAAACCAGAATAAGAAGAGTCTAGCTTACCGCCAGTAAATAAGTAACACTAAAGCCTGGACAAGGAAGTTGAGCTGCATGGAGAACTGGGGCTCAGTTGCTTGCACAAAAGCCAACTGAGTAGAATTACAGAACCATAAAGAATGGCTTACCTATAGATGTATAGGCATATGAGGTAAGAAATGTCATATTTCTACAACATACCTACTGAATATTCTGTTCAAATATACTTTTGACAGATGTGCACTCTAGCTATTACTGGAACCCGATAAATGAGAGAGCCACTACACGTTTCTTACCAAGGCGTGGTTTTGCTTAGCTGGTTGACTGTGGACTCCATTTGTTCGCTTCTTTTGGCTGGGAGTGTCTTGATATTGCTTTCTGCCATTGCCCCTCAAGTTCTGACTCAGCCATTACATCAAAAAAAAAAAAAAAACCAGTAAAGAATTTAAATAGCAGCATCGAGCATAATTGCAGTGTGACACTTTCTACTTATTAACTAAATTTCCCTCCCAATACCTCAAAACATTTAAACAATATTTTTTTGTAGACAAACTGAAGTACACAAAAATTAACAAAGCAACATAGACTCAAGTTACAAAAAGTAACTTTTACTCAGTCTCTTGCACTGTTACATTGTTATACAATAATACCATGCAGTTCCCACACTCTGATACACACGTACTAGTGGTATGCAAAAAACTCAATGCGGTACATGAAGGACGCCCAAAGGGTGAGCACCAACTGCCGTGCATACCTGAAACAACACAACTACTTACTGCCTGATGCCCACCCCCTCCAATGTCAATACCAAGCAAATAAAGACTGAGAACTCACCACAGTGGTGGTGGTGGTGGTGTGTGCGTGTCCCGCATGTTTTGGTTTTGCATGTTACGGGTGATAAAATTCTTTAGTTCCAGGATGGAACAATGAGCCAAGATACCTATTTTTAAATGGTCCAGATAACATGTTTGCCTGGAAAACATAACATACCTTTATTTTTAAAGCTTCAGACATCTCAGGATGATTATATGGCTTCTGTGGCTGTTTTGGCTTTACCCACTGCTCTCCTGAAAAGCCGTCTGTAAACACCTGCTGACTACAGCGAAGTTTGGATCTAGCACATGAAAAGAAACAGAATTTACAACACAACCTCAAGGCTATTAATAGCAAAACAGAAACATATTAAAGTTTTCTGCCTCTCCAGAACAACCTAGAGGACAAGCTGAACCGTCAAAACTACAACGATGCTCGCTTCATTCACCCAACTTTAGTTGGGTTGCTAGCAGGACGCCCGTGCTGTTTAGACAGCGGGTTGCGTCCACCTTAGCATCTAATACATCAATGGTCAGTGCTCAACTGGCCTGAATTACTGGAGCGTAGCCTTCCCCTTCAGGGATCGAGGTTTGAAGACTCGCTCTACCACTTTTAGCTCAGCTGAAACAAGAAAACAGTAGTACTTGTTCCCCTAGTGACCCCTTCCAGTATTCTCTTAATTGATTTTAGGCTTTTCAATACCCCTCTCACTTTAAAGTAGGTTTTATCTAGCTACTTCTGAAATTACTTTCCAGTACTACTACTTCTTTAAAGAGCCTTATTTTCCTTAGGGGAAATAAAAGCATTGCACAAAGTTATCTACTCATTCTAGCTTGCTTTTTGGATTGCCATAGATAGGACTCAATAAATTATCTCAGTTCCAGCATGCTTGCGAATTCACCAAAAGTTCAAAAAAAAAAAAAAAAAAAGGAAAGAAAAAAGAAAAAAGCACATCAAGATAGTAATTAACCTTCCATCCTATTTAGAATCCTCTGAGATATTTCGGTAATCTTATTAACCCATTCTATTCCTGAAACAGGAACACTCAGAAAGAAAGGATGATTAGCTTTGTACAACCAATGTTTTATAGAAAGGTTACAGAGGGGTTAAACTGACCTGGATCTTACCTCGCTTTTTCCATGTTGAGCTTAGAGGGTGTGCTCCCAGTAGATGAAAATCCATTGTCGCTATCCGAGGAATCTCCATTCCTTCGAGAAATCCATTCCCTCAGTGGCCTGTGACCAAGCAGAAGTTCAATAAGATTCACTTACTAAAACAAGTCTAAAGAAATTAAAGTCTTTGAAAGGCAATGGCCTATTATTTGGCTCATCTTGAACATACCTGATGAAAGGAATGGCCATAAAAAATTTGTTAGGTGCTAAACCTAGCTTGGACTTTGGGGTCATGTCATTCCTGTGGCATGGTAATTTGTCGATGGAAAACCATTCAATATTCTAAAAAAACAGGAAAAAAAAAAGACACTGTTGTAGCATTAGAAAATTTTACAAGTGCACACCATCCACAATTATCTTTTTTAATGAAAAACTGCAACAAAAGACTTGAATTAGCAGATTACAAAAGTTTTCCACATAAGGCTAGTTAATGACAAGTCATTCTTCTGACCGCAACTACACAATAATCGTTGAAAGAGCCCATATTCATTGTAAGATTATATCATCTAAAATATAAAATGTATTATCCAGCAACAAAATTTTGAGCGAGATTTTTCAAAAGAACACAAAACAAAACAAACCACTGTGGACTGAATGCCAGAATATACAGGGAGAAGTTTTAAGTAAATTTCAAGGCCACTACTATTCTTGCTGTTTTTAAAGTGTCCCCAAAAACAGACCACCAATAGTAGTTCAAAAAACATCAAAACCAAGAGAACTTAGTTTGCAGAATGCGTTTGAGCTTCTATTACCAAACAAAAACAAAACAAAAAAAAACAACCAACACCATGGGAAGAGGACAGAATTTGTGCGAGAATAATTTTTACGTTGCAGTTTTAACTACTATAATTGTATACTTTGTGGAATATGGGGAGAAATCAAGAATTCTGAAAATACATTAAAAACCCATATGACCTTTTCTATTACTAAATCTTGCCCCAAAACCCAGCTCCAGATAAGATACATACATTCAAAACAAGGTACAGACTGAATGAATTTCTAGAACAATTCTACAGGAATTACAAAAATGACACGCCAGGCTGAATCAGATCAGATGAAGAAAGTATTTCAACATGGACACAACAACCTAATGTGGTAAGAACTCTTCATAACAGTAACCACGTGCACAGGGGTGGAAAAAAAATGAAGTTACTGTACTTTAAAAATTATCAGCTTCTACTCTTTCATTCGGTATTAAAAACATATCACTGAAGTTCAGAGTTGCATGCTACACTACTTCTGCAAAACAACTCTTTAATGCCAAAAAAATGAGAGCTCCTTGTCCAGTCAACCACTAGCACCTTTTCCCATTTTGAAGCCAGATACCCTGTTCAGTGGCACCGCCTGCATAAAAATATGGGGATAGATGTTGTAAAGTGAATCGCACTACTAGAAAAATATCCAGTTTTCAAAGATGATGGGGGTCACCCACAGTAACAAACTTTCTAGAAATTCTGATACTTGAGTATTTGCTTCTTCCTTTCACAATGCCTTTTAAAAGCCTAATGGTACACAGACCATGCCCCCATTGCGTGCCCCCTCCCCAGCCTCCCCTTTCACACACACCATTCACTAAGTCTAGACTGTGTGAGCTATGACAGATTCTCATTAAAGAGTTAAGAGTGTTTCCTCTTCTAATGCGTAGGGGTTTGTATATCATCGATTAATAATTTTATCTTCAGAAGAACACATACAGTTATAGATGCAGCTTTAGCTAGGAATAACATGGAATGATTAACACATACACTATTTAGGTGAAAAGAGGGGGAGAATTGTTGTTTGCCTGCATGTTCTAATGTTGTTTTCACGATGAATAGAGATGTCAGATAGGCGGTCACGAATCAGTCTTTGCGTCAGAGTTGCAAGAAGTTGGTAAGACCCTACAGTGGTGAGATGCCATTTGTAACTAGCATTTGAGACAATCATTGCATTTAGTAGTTTCATGATTTTACAGACCATTAGCTTAAAAAAACAAAAAACAATACAAAAAAAAACAAAAAGAACACCTACCACCCAACTGTCACAACAAAGCACCTTCACAACTAAACAAACCAATACATACCCGAATTTCCCTTCTAGTTTTAGGGTTGAATTTTGTGTTCTTTGGAACTCCTGGAATGATGTACAGCCGTGCTAACTGATCATTAATTCGCAGCTCGATGTATTCTTCTTTGCAGATATAATCTTTTATGTCAAACCCGGTTTCTTCAAATACCTGAGAAGTATATAGATGATGTTAGCGCGTACATTAAGATTCATCGTTTCAAAAACCTACCATGATGAGGGAAAGCATGACTAGTTTTCAGATCTACCTAGAAAAGCAGGCCTTGGCTAAGAAAAAACAAAACATTTACACAGATACATGCCTATTAATTGAAAGGGTGTCTAAGATCCAATGCACTTTACGTTTCTTTAAGACTGACAGATCTGTAATAACAAAAAAAAGTTGAAACAATCTTATGACACTTTTATGTATCAATTCATTAATATGAATGGTGAGTCTCCAGCTGGTCCTTCCTAAACATTTTTAGCATATTTTATGGTCTATGTTTGCAGTGAAAGATGGCTACATGTTTCACTTCCAAAAACAGAGAGGAAATGAAGCACAAATTAAAAAAAAAAAAATAAAAGATATTATTAATGAAAGCAAGTAACTGACTAGTTAGTCTTCAAATTAGTTCATATGACCCCTCTCATAAAAAGAGAAAACAAATCATCTTCCCTTATAAATATATTAAGAGTAGCAGAGCTTAAAAAAAGCAAAAACACACAAAAAAATAGAAAATATACTTTTTCAATTAAGGGAAGATACACTTTTCCTCCCATACTTAATCTTATTACTGTAACCAGTGTTTTCCCTTCCTAAAGGGTCTTTCCAGATGGTTTAATTGAATTCAGTGTAGAAATTCATCTCACCAAGAGAATAATCCATTCCATGTTGTTTTGCCCTCATCAATGCCTGGAACAGTAGTGAATTGTGGTCATATTGCCCAGTGAAGAGATCCTAAATTAGACCACGTACAGTGCCACACAGATGCAGCTTATGGTTTTAGATCTGTGCTGACCCAAGTGGAAGTAGTTCGAAGATTTATGCACAGAAATTATGGTCATGACAACTTCTGGCAGTATCTAAGCTTAGAAGAACTTGCCAGGTTAGCCACAGTAGCAGTCTGTCTCGGAGGAGACAGTTCATAGCAACAGCGGTGCTCACTGGTATAATTTAAAGCAATTTATCAAATGAAAAACACCATCAAAAGGGGTTTTTGCCAGTATAACTGTGCCTGCATTAAGGCTGTTGCTAGCATGATAAAAAGGGGAAGGGATATTTCATGATATCCCTTCCCAAACTAGTTATGCCCACTTTCAATAACCTCCCGCCCACTGTGTTGCGGTTCATATTTTTATGGTCTCCCTGCCCTTCAAGCTGCAGTCCTTCAGACCAACCCTAATATTATCTGTCCAGTAAAAGCTTAATCAAGCACACTCTTTAACGGGTGGGGGGAGGAGACACGCACCAAATAATAAAATCAACTTTATTGAGTCTCTGCTCATCTTTCCCAACCCTTGAGTTGGGCAATGACAGTCCACTGCATCTATAGCTCAGATGTTTTACTCTTCGTTAAGTCATACAGTACTACATAAACAATGTTCTACCTTCAGAAATCAGTAAGGAATCATGTGAAAGTTCACATCTGTCCACTGCATAATAATGCACCGTTAAGATGAAATACCTGATTTTGCTTTTCCAAGTCCCGATTACATAGCTGAGTAGTGTGGAAAGCATCCTCAGGAAGTCAGAAATAAGGAATTTTTCATTCATGTGTTTTCAGCACATACGTATAGGAAGAAAACCCATGACTTCTCACATATTCACTCAGTCCAGTCAAGAAGAAAATCAATGCGTCTTACTACTTTCCTTCATCCAGTAAATTCTTTCTCAATTCTAGCTGTATTACGAGACTTTCAGTTACAGGAACACTGAGTTTATAACCAGTAATACTCTTTTACAGTCTATTTTTTAGCATACATACTCTAGCATACGTATCGGGTTTCCTGCAACAATAAATCCCACAGATTATTTTATTTTTATAGTTTACTTGCCATATATAGTGATCCTTGTTCCTGTATCACTGAACAATTTAAAATAAAGTTCTTCGCAAATTTTACATAACCTTCTACAACCTCCATCTGCCTACAGCATTACATAGCGCATCTTACCTAGGCTTAATTCCCACTCTTTTACCATCTTACAGTTCTGGTGGCTCTTGCAATTAATATTCCAAAAGCCACAGAGTAGCTAGATTTTCACAAACAGCAGAAATAATACTTAAAAGTTGACTGATACCGTAGAGCAGAACTTTTACAATAGCATTCACTTAAGTTAGCAAATCTGTGCAAGGCGATCAAAAACATCAGAACCCTGTGATTTTAAACCAGATAAACAAACCCTTAATAATCACTGCTGGCAACTCAGAAAACAACTAAAAGTTACAGTAGAAGAATCTTGCAAGAATGGACAAGTTATTTACCTGATTTTCATAAACAGATAATACGAGATTTTAGTTAGGTATCTAACACGCCTCCTGCTCTCAGCAAGATTTAATTTCTTTATCTTAAAAGGAAAAAAAAAAATTCAATTTAAGAGAATCAAATGCAACTTACCTCTCTAGCAGCACAGTCATGAGGAGCCTCCTCTTTATTTACTTTCCCTTTTGGAAATCCCCAACCAGACTTTGCTAAATAGCCCTGGACCAAAAGAACCTGCAAAACACAAGGAACGCAACTGCCAAACATCCATTATTTTAAGCAATTTCTAGGAAACCTCTTCTCTTTAACCCTCAAAAGATACTTTTCATTGGAGGAAGGAACCAACTCTTAAGTATTCATTACCACCACCGCTTTCTGATAGAGTTTTCTGTATTCTAGCAAGAAAAGTCAAAACTTTCTACGTGTCTCAATTCAGATAGAGAAAAAAAAATGAGTATGAAAGAAAGCAAAAGTGTATCCACTGTCTCCCATACTTTACTTGCATATTCTATTCCTGTACACACTTCAACAGTGTCACATTTCTGCCAGGTCTCTGTGAATCTAAACTGCCTCTTTCTTTTTAAGATGACAAATGTAAACTACAAAAAAGATTCCTTTTGCCAGCACACAATCCACGCATCCCATTAGTCCCTCACAATTATTTCCATACTTACATTTTCAAGTGTTTCATCGAGAATAATTGCACCATAGGTTGGCACTCCCATTTTATATTCCTTCCATTCATCTAAAACCTTTTGTACATCTTCACCTTGAGGCAGTAAAAAAGGGCAGTGACTGAAGAGTACAGAAGCATGTTAAGGATGCTAAATTTATTTATCCAGTTTCCAATCACATGCAGTCATACAAAGCTACCCACTCGACGTTTACAACAACCACTCCCTCCCTAGAGGGCTTTCTAGATACATTCTCTTGGAAGTAAAGACCATTACAGATTCTCACCATGCAGAGAAAACATGAACAACATTTATAACTCTAAAACTTTGAAAGCAAATCTACAAGTCCTTAAAAAACATCTTACCAAAACACCAAAGATGCTACCAATTATTCTCCAGCACTGTATTTAAAAACAAAACGCTACGGCAGAAGTGACATTTCTGGCGAAGGTAAGCTACAAAGGAAAAGATGTAATGAACAAGTATCATCTACTACACTTCATTTTTCCTGTGCTGCCTACAAGTACCAGAGGAACTGCTTTGGTCTGAAAAATACATTTATACCTTAAAAGGCTACTTGAACTTAACCAACAAGTCTGCATAGTATCCACTGACAGAAAATAAAAATTTTTCAGTTTATTGCTAAAATAAATACTGCCAGCCTTCCAAACAAAGTCTCCGATTTTCAAACTGACAAGGAATTATTTTGGATAGTGAAATCATAAACAATATTATTATGAAGGTTAGAACCAAGACTCCAGTTCCATTTCAAGAACGTATGGGAAAAGGTTAAAACAAAACCACTCGCTGGATTTTGGTATGAAACGTACTTGACAAATTTTTCTCTAACAAGGCATAGATCAGGTAGAGTTCTGCAAGGCCTGACACTTAATGAAAAAAAGCAGAGGACGGCCATACGAGTTAAGTAAAAACGCATCCTCTCCCCTACCAACGGAGGGGCTTCTAGAAGGATCCTGCAGCAACGGCCAGAAACTCTGAACAAATGCATACCATTTCCCATGAGGGAACGCATACCGTCTTTAGCTACACTCACACTTGCATCAGCATTTTCAGTGAAAGGCTTTAAATAAGCAGAAAGCATACCCTGGAGAGTTCCAAAAGCTCCTCTCTGAAACCTACCCCAGTCTGCCAACTTGTGGCCACGAGGAAAAGTCCAAGTGAAAAATCCTCAGAGATATTGCTTGTTTTCCATAGTTCCAAAGCAGCAAGAGAAACATCTCTTTTGTAGAAGTCACAAAATTACGGGAGCACTGAAAAGTTAAAAATCACATGTCTAGCGGATAATCACCAGGACGCAAACAGCCATTTTCCCACTGCATGTACAAGACACAAAGTTTCACTAACAATATGCAGGTTCCACTTTATCCACAGTGTCTGAAAACATTTACAGTAATAAAAAGGATATCAGCTTTAGCAAAATCTCTTATCCCACACTGAGGTAATCCTGGTGTGTTTTGCATGTAGAAATCCAAGTAAAACCAATGGGCGAGTTCAATCTGAAAACATACTCTGATTGCATTGTCTCTCTCTTCACTCGGAATGTGCAAAATAAATCGGCTGCCAGGAAAGAAAGAAAAATAAGATTAGACAAATCTATCGATTTAAATGAACCTAATAATGAAAACGTGCTACAGCAGCAGTTTTCCTAATCTGAGTGCAGAGCAACAGATCTCCCTGGTGGTCCGCACAGCAAAAAGTTTTCACAGGAAAGTAAGACACAGCTTTTAAAGTTAGAAAGGAGAATGGGTCATGAGGTTTGTTCTCTCCCAAAACTCAATTACAAGAAACTAAATAATTTAACTGTTGTGGGGGGAAAAAAAGAAAAAAAAAAGGTGAAGAAAGCCTATGTAAATGGCTATATTACAAAAATGAAACAATTTTTAAATGTCCAGTAAAAAATTTCTGTGAATTCCAATATATTTCTTCTGGGCACAAGTTAAAACACATCCACGTATCTTTTTAACTGAAAAGCACAGTAAACTATTAATCCACATGAAATGTAAAGTCTTTCTGATTCTGGCAATATGATCTTATCCCTTCCCTCAGTCTGAAGTAGAAAGCGGAGAACTGGTTTACTTTTCAAGTCTATTTTTCGCTTCTCTCCTACTAGCTCAGATATGAGCACAAAAAGATGAGACTTCCACAGATGAACCTTTGAGCAGTAGCACTGTATGACAGTTCTTTTTATTCAAGAAGCTTTCTGTTTTGTTTTTAAGATCAAGAACAACAGAGTTTCTCTTCAGAAATTTAAGGTCATCCGCCCCATTGAGCTTAAACCATTTGCCAAGGCTCTTCTAAATTCAGCTCTTGAGAAGTACCATCTCAGTCCCACAAGTGCATAGTATTCTTGCTGGAAATAGAACTATTTAAGATGTCTTTAATTAAAATTTTACAAGTATGAGCGAGTAACCTTTTCACTTTCACGAGTAACTCCTCCTACTTGCCAGTTTTGAGGTGGCAATACCCCCCCACATTGCTTCCCATTTGTAAGGCTCTATTTCTACTCAAAGTTACCCTTACATATAAGGCTGCTGTACCTCAAAGGTATGAAAATCAAGTATATTTGTATACACTTTATAACTAGTCGATGATGCTTTCTTGCCCCAGCACTGCCACTGATCAAGAATCTGAAGATGCAGTATGCAGAAGCAGTACCAAAGAAGAACAAGAACATGCCAGCAATAGGCTTAAGAGTAATACGAACAAAGCCAATTAACTTTTTAATACCTAAGTAGCATTCTTCACTTTTAAGCCACTTGCGGTACCTGAATCCCAAAAGAGGGACTGAATTGCTAACAACAGGTATCTCCAGCTTGTACCTCCTAAATTCAAAAGATGAGGCAACAGTACTTGCTTGCAGGAGAAAGTAAGGTCCAAGCAGCCCAAATCCTAAATGAAGACTCTGCAATAAGACGCTATATCAAGACTAGGCAGCCCCACTTATTTATTTAGCAGTCACAGAGTACAACTCAGTAGTAAGACAGCACGATGAAAAATTAGTATGCATGTAAGATTTGCTAGTTAACAAAATGGGTCAGAGCAGTCCTGCTCCTGAAGCATATATACAGATTAATTTGCCAAAACTGGAATTGTTATCTGAGCTTTCTGTAATTCTAAAACAGCCTAAGAGGAACTCTATAGACACTTGAAGACGTTCTATACCTGGCTTTTGCTTTCGACTTGTTTTTACATGCTGCCAAGTAACGTTTCGCCATCTGAACAAGAACTAAGGTGTAGAAATATCTTAATTTAGTTTACTAGCAGGTAAAAGCTGTGATACAGCTTTAAAAAGTTCCATTGCAAGTGACACGAGACTAGTGTTTAATCTTATTTTTGTTATCCTTAGGAGTATGGCCTTACAATTAAAACATTTAACAATAATCACCACCACCTATACTTGATCCTCATGCAGACCTCTGGAGTGGAATATAAAAGCCTACTTACTACTTCCTATAGTGGAAAATTGTTTATTTTTTAAGAGCTAGTTTATATTGGTTCTTTGCTATGGGCCTCAGTGCTATATAATTTCAGTATTAGATTCTGTGAACTCACAGCTATGAATGTTTGACTCAGAATTTAGCATAACGTTACCTACAGTAACGGGTAAGTGGCATATGGGAAACAAAGCCTATAGTCTGAAAGCCCCTTCATCTGATAGCCCTTTCATCTGATCTACTTGATTTAATAAACCCATTATGCAAGAGAACTTTTAATAATACGCATTAAAAAAATCCCACTACGTTTAAGCTTAACTATAACCTACATGAAATCATTATACATTCCACTGCTGAAAGCCTGGGCAAACACTGAATGTAATTAATATGGGAGAGAACATCCATAGGTACACACTGAAACTGCAATATTGTTTTCTATTGTTTTCTTTTTTTTCATTGTTTTTACACAAGAAATCAATGCAATAATTTCCCTTTTTCAAGTAAGCACTTAGTTTGATGTTAAATGCTATAGTTGCAACTAAATGGCCAACCTTTACCCCCAGCAAAATACTTCAGCATAGAAATGCTGCAAACCACACCTTGTAAATACACTAGCCTAATTAATAACTTTAGGCCATAAACCCTGCCTAAGAATGTAATTTAGGCCTTCCTACAGAATAAGTTTATATATCTCAAAATCAACTTGCTTCAAACCACTACAGAGAATAAAAAGTTGGAGACTTAGCCCAATTAACCATACAATTTAATGCTATTTGGCAATTTAAGACCAAACCGTTTGATACAAGAGGAAATCCACAGCCATCCTGCACAGTGCAGGAGAACTTGGAACCTATAATCCACAATGATAAAAGAACTGAGGTGGTAAAGGTCACCCAACAGTACCTTGTGGTTTTCCAAAATATCACACTCATCAAAACAAAAAAAAAAAACAAAAATATATCACACCCACCTCTCAGGTCATACAAAATTAAAGTATCAGCTGAGGTGCCTTTGGTGCTGACAACAGCTATGAGAATTACCTGCAGGCACTAAACTAGCTGTAGCTGCCCTGCCCTGAACACTGGAATTATTACTCAGACTAATTGGCTGAATAGATGGCACAGCTGCAAATGATCTGAGGACCTACACATGAACCTCTTTGACTGGCCTCTATGTGGGATCAAAGGAAAGTGATTTAGCTTAAAGAAAAATTTAAATGTATCTTAATTTAGCTGTTCCTTATATTGACTACCTCTACAACAGGTTACACTGGTCTTTTTGTCACAGGGAAAAGTACCAAACGTCAAGCAGGTCAACAGCAAATACAGGCAGAAGTACTTAAGTTGACGTTATCTTGTGAATATATATACACAACAGGGTTCTCCATTTGACAAATACACACTTTTCTACCGAGAATCCAGACCTTTCGCTTCAAATAAGAGGAAAATATTCCTGTCCAAAAAGAATACAAGTCTGAAAGATACTCTGACACTATCAAGACGCACAAAGAGAGTGGCTGTATTTTGTGCACATCTAAGCTTTAACTTAGCTTCTTGGCTTACAAATGAAATATATTTACATATATACATACACACACACATATATACCTATATATATATATTCACAAACATACAAAATCTTAAATTACTGGGCAAGTTTGGCTTGAGAGCAGAAATTTTTCTCTTTTTAGCTTGATAAAAGTAATATAAATTTTTGCCATCTTCTAAAAAATCAACAGTAATTTAGATTTTTAGTTGACACATTGGTACAGTTCATATAGAAACAGCAGAGATTTTCTAAGGGCCTAAGCTTTTATTATGCTGAAATTATCATAATACTTTAAGTATTGAAGGTTTGTTTGCCAATAGTATTAACAACAAAAATCAGCGTGAGTTGTGCTAAAAGTGACTTTAAATTAAGTTCAATAACTAAGGATGAAAACTTGCAAAGCTCCTTCTGCTAAGATTTCCATATCATACATATATCATACACAGATTGAAGAATGCAGAAGTAACAGATCTTCTAACATTCTGTTTATAGTCAACCAATCCAAGTGCCCCACCACTGATCTTCCACTTCCTTGATTACTCCCTTGATTACTCCCTTGAGTCAAGGCCTATCAGGTCCTCTCACTTCCCCACTTTCTCTCCTTGCCAAAACATCAAAGGTTGATTCCTCTACTCCTTTCAGTTGCCCTGTCCATGCCCAAACAGGGTAATATATTTGAAACAGGGCTGATCTGTCAGCACTAATGAAAGTCAGGCCCCTAACCTACCACTCTGTGGCTTTTAACTAAAGCCACACCAGTAGATTCATGGATTCATGCAATTAGAAGACAAAACAGCATTTCAAAGGTAGAAGATGACAGCAGCTCAAAGGAACACCATTACACAGATAGCAGGACCAAGCCTAAAACAACTTAAGATCCAGATTACATGTGTGCCCTTCCATCACGTTCCCCATGAGAGTCAAACAACTAAGCTGCCTATTTCAGTTCTTGAAGTATTGGAATTCCCGCTCCTGGTTCTCTGGAAAAATCTTAAATTCCTTCCTCATATGTGAGCAGACATCTAAAAGAAAAGCCCCATCTTTGGGGTGGTCTCTACAGGGAGCTCAGAAGAGACATGATGGATACACGGACATCTTTCAGTGGCTAGACTTTCAGAACTAAAATTAAGACTCGGGTACTGCAAAGTCTGACTCTTGCATTAGATACAAAATGAAACGGTAATGTGCTGAACAGTTCCAGTTGCCTGTGGCATTCTGAATTCTAAGCACTCTCATTCACCTGAGAACAGTAATTCCAGGTAAGTGGACTATCCTTCATCTCTGGCAACCATTTTCTGTAGCACATAAATACTTCAGGGAGGTCCTTTCAATCTAGTAAGGCGCAAGGATTATTTCATGCGATATATCACAATCAGTTCTAGATATCAAATTCTGGAGATGACACAGATGAGTTCTAAAGTCCAAAAGACTGCTTCAGTAACGATCAGAGGTTGAGATCAAGGGAGGGGGAGCCTTCTCCCAAAAGAAAACAAAGCTTTTGTGTCTTATGGCACTATGAAAATTTAAACGTGTAGCCTTTAGGAGAAGAAAAAGCGATCATTCGTTTTAAAGGATCAGCAAACAGGAGAGAACAATTTTGGAGCGATGGGCGTTCCTTGACCCCCTTTTTTCCATCTCACCAGAGCTCTCTTTTCTAGAGGAGAAAAATCTGCAGAAAGGACTCTCCACCACCCCCCTACCAATCAAACTTAGACTTTTCAACTATATACATCACAATAATTCATCACAACACGTACTATATCAGCCTCGCACTTACAACTCCCCTCTCGCTCGCACAAACACTGCCGATGCAGTTTTACTTCCTTGGCCACACGGCGTAAACTTCTGAACCGCGAAACACTGGAAGACAACCATGAAGCACCTTCCGCCGCTCCAACCCTCTGCCCTCCATTTCTTCCGCGCTGCTAACTTAGCTCTACATCGGTTTTCGACTACGGTGCAGACTACAAAGTAGGTACCTTCTCCACCCTGCCAGGGTAGCTTTCAACAGGCTCCTTACGCGGTGGCACCTTCGGCTACGACCCCCCC